TAGTCCAGTATCATATAATCAGTTCAGTATTCAAAGTTTGCTAACACACGCAAAACTTACAATAGCTCATGGCACTTTCAGCTTCCAAAAACTCTCAGATCAGATCAGCCCAGCATCTAACAAAACAGAGAGAGCTAACAGTCGTTCTGGCTCCCTCTTATGGCCGATTGAGGAAAACAGCAACCAATCACATTCTACAGTATGATTTAAAGAAATAGGTACAACATTGTTACATGATTTATATATTGCCAACCCAACCGTTAGAATTATATTCCTAACAATCTGTAACTTTTGGCAGTCTTGAGTGTGTCAATTTGATATTGGGATATGCATGAATTGGTTGCACTGTAAGAACACTCGCGAGGCTGTAACATGCTCATCTTCAAAATAATATTTTTTGCTTGCATTGAACTATAGTTTCGGCCATGTCCCATTGAGGAAATTGAAAGGTGACCTCAAAGACATTCCACTGGCAACAGATTAGAAAAGATTAGGTTCACACTTGCAACCTGAAAGAATTTATAAGTTTTTAAAATTTATTATTTTAAATACTTAAAATAACACAGGCAATTCTCAGTTAACTACCGCTTGTTCAGCAACCAGTCAAAGTTGTGACCAGGCTTATAACCAGTCCTCAGTGTTTTGGCCATCACAGCACCCCACAGCTACTTGATTGCTATTATAATGCTTGGTAACCAGCTCACACTTACGACAGTTGCAGCATCGCAGTCATGTGACTGCAGTCATTTGATCACCGTTTGCAACCTTCCCTATTAGCTTCCCACAAGCAAAGTGAATGAGAAGCTGACAAGGAAAAGCACAAATTGCTCCTTTAAGTTGATTCTTCCACTTTTTCTCCCGAGGAACCTGCTACGCCAAGAGCTGTGGTGACATAGTGGTTACAATGCAGTACTGCAGGGTACTTCTGCTGACTGCCAGCTGCCTGCAATTTGGCAGTTTGAATCTCAGCGGTTCAAGGTTGACTAAGCCTTCCGAGGTTGGTAAAATGAGGACCCAGACTGCTGGGGGCAATATACTGACAACATCCCCCTACCCACATTCCCAATTAGAGTCCCAATTACTATCATTATCCAAGGACCATCTGTACTCTTTAAATATTCCATTAAACTTCATTTGTCCAAAAGAATAAGAAGCCCAGTGCAATGCCATGCAGTAGGATTTGAGTTTAGAAAACTGCTGGATCAGGAGTAAAATTCCCGCAAAGGAAGCTTTGACATATATAGTTTCCCATGAAGAGAGGGTGGCACATTATGCAAAGAGTAGTCTATTTCTCACTCTAAGCACCTCTCCAAATTCATGGAGTTTTCAACTTCAGTCATGACTGAAGTTGAAAACTTTTGATAAATTGAACTCTGCTGCTCTAATAATTATACTTATACCTTCTATATTTTTGTTCCAATTGAATTTTCCTGGGTTTCTAGGGACAACCTGATGACAGATATTTATGGTGCTAATCTTTACAACCGCTACCTTGAAGAGAGGATCTCAAGAAGTTCTAAGGCTCATGTCCAGGCCAAAGCACTAGGGGGCACAAGATCTGCCACCGTTTCTCAGGAAGAGGAGCTTGAGAATTCTTGGGAAAATGAACTTGCATCAGCTACTGCAACAAGATGTACGTCTGTTCTTGTTTGCACCGGAGTTTATAACCCTCACACAGAGGTGCCTTCTGATACAAGGGAGAACATCACTGAGACTGTCTTTCATGGTCACAGGGATTTCAGATTTGATCCTGCTTTAGTAGAACCAAACCACGTAGTGTCAGATGTTGAAGCTGCTGTTGATCTCATCTTCCAACTGGAAAACTTTGCACCACATAAAAGCTGCAGGACTTCCTAATGACTTTGTGATGCTGTTATATTCCTTTTCCTTCTGAAAAACTAAGAGGAGTACTTAATATCAAACAGTCTCTAACATACTAATGTTTTTTATAAGTAACATTTCTACTACATTTCTAAAAAAAAAAAAAAAACAACCCAGAAGAGTACACCCCATATATTTCTTTTCTGCGCCAATTTATTTTAATGACTAAAACGATTATGAATTGTACTTTTTTAATGAATTTTCTTCTAAATATTGACTCCTGGTTCAGAGATCCCAGTTTTCAGATTTAATTATTAATGTTAAACAGATGTGTTTGGTAGTCAAAATTGTAAAACAAGTATGCTATTAAACTCCATACATTGCACTTAATTCCCAAGGAATTAAAATGTCCCTTTCTAGTATCCAACTTTTTCTTTATTTCATTACCTTCCCTTGGGTCAATGCTCTGTGTGAACCACGAAAACTGTATGTTGATGCTTTCCTTTTGTAATTCGATTTGAGATTGAATGACCAAATTCATAAGTGAACAAAAAGGCTTTCCCCATGGTAGGTATATGCAGAATTGATTAAAATGAATGGGGTTTGCAGGATAGCAAATACAATTTTGCTCAAATCCCACTTTGAATAAGCTGCCTAAAGTTGTTTCTGTCAGACTTTGCCCTTTGGGTTTTATTATTAATCATTCTGGTGTTTTTGCTGCACTGAACAGCAGGATTTAGTAGTTCCTTGAGCTTTTAGTTTTTACTTGAAACACGACAAGGGCAATCAGGTACTGATAAGATAATATTTTCTCTTCCTTTTGCTACTAAATGTTACATGCTTAATTTTTAAGGACTACGTATCTCATAAATGTAAACTATAAATTTTATGTCTTCTTTGAAACTTTCTGTTAACTGCAGCAGTCTGTCCAGTAAAATATTTTCTATTTTAGAAAGCACAAATTTTTGATCAGCATTCTAATCCCTCTTTAAAGTTTTTTTAGTTGGCAGCTATCCATTATCTCTAATTTCTTCATTTTATTCTTGAGACAGTTAATGTTCCTATACGTATTTTCTTATCCTGTTTAGTTTTTGTTATAAATCTGTGGAAAGAAACTTTATGAAAAACTTTAATAGTGCAAGCCCGTATTGTCTTTTCACACAAACATTTTAACATGTGTTACTCTTAATAAGTTTTAATAGGAAACCCTACTAATCTTTTTTCTAGATTTTTTTTCTTCTGCACATTTTTCATCAGTTTATTTAGAACATGGCCTCCATCTGTATAATTTTTTGGCTTCCACACTTCTGTTTATACTTTGTTATTAAAATGGCCTTTGTCCACTTATTAAATATGAAGGGCAAACACAGAACTAATTCAATATTTTTGTTACAGCAGTCATTTACTCTTTTATGCAAATCTTTATTTACCCAGAAGGTTTTGAATATCATCAGTATTTAATCAATTTATACATTGTGTTGCATAGCAAGGAATATAATTTTTGGGGAAATTTTGGGAAGATTTGTGTTTTGCTAAGAACACAGTTGTAAATAATTTCATTTGGACTTCATGTTTCTCTCCTTCACACATTCATTTACAGTGTTTCCCCTAAAATAACACAGGGTCTTATTTTCTTTTGACTCCCGAAAGAAGCACTTGGCCTTATTTTCAGGAAGGTCTTATTATTTTTGAAGTGCAGGAGGTGGCGAGTATGGTTACCTCATGGCTGCTGCTACGTTGCAATATTTTCAGGGAGGGCTTATTTTAGCACATGCGCTCAAAAGCCTGATTAGGCTTATTATCCAGGGAGGTCCTATTTTCAGGGAAACAGAGTAATCTCTTTCAGACACTCCCCCAATTTTCTATGGATTTTAAGGCATACTTGGAACTCTGTAAGCTTTTCAGATTAGTTTGTTTCCTTTTTTCTTTCTTTTTTCAAAGTTTCAGGGTTTTTTTGTTTCACTTGGGTAAGACTTGGCTTTTTTAAAAAAAGAAGAACTCTGCTTTCCATGCTGGCATAGTTAGTTGGTGATAGTTTTCCCAAACTTTGCAGTATGGAAAATGCTCATTCTAGAGAAACTGAACTTTCATTTTTTTCTTTTAACCTAACTCTAATCCTTACTTTTTTTAAAAAATGGGAAAATGTTTATACAGATGACTAAATTTTTCAAAATCTTATTTAAAAAGAAAAAAGAAAAAAGTAGCGGTTGAAATTGCTACTGCTGGACAGCCTCCATACGAGCAACCTTATGAAAGGTATTATGTTCTCCAAAAAAGCAACCACGTCTGCTGCAGACTACTCCCACAAACTATTGCATTAAGCAGTAGCATGTTCACATGACTACAAGGAAGATATTATTTAATCACTGGTCAATCATTAGTGTTCTGATGATTAATCTTTACAAAACTATGAGTCTATGGAGTCCTAGACTAAATAAAGCTATCGGACAAAAATGTATCTGAATATACTTTGTTCCAGTTCAACACTCAACTCTTAAATTCTATCTGTTTTACCTAACTCTATGCCTAATCCTAAAGTCCCAGAATTTTCAGAAATTGGCATGCTGATTTGGAAGCCTGTGAATTGGAAATAGTGGTATATAGAAGAGACAGGGATGTCATCTTGTATGCAGGAGAATAGAACTGAGTGAGAACCTGATGATATCAGATATCAAAGAAGTAAGACTGGTGGTTTCTGGCAATCAACAAAAGACAACCACTGGGATGGGTGCAAACCTTGATGGATATGGCTAAGAAATAAAAACAGTGACCAGTCACAGACTATATACATAACAGTACATCTAGAGCAGGATGTCAAACTTGTGGCCCGGATGCATCACACGCTGGCCACCCGCACCCCTGGGTTTAGCAAAGGGGGAAAAGTTGCAATATGTCACTGATGACAACATGATGCCGCAAGTTTTACACCCCTGATCTATATGGAATAGAAAAGCTTTCAGCCTTCAGAACTGAGATCAAATAAGATTGATGAGGGATGATGATGAACAAAAAAGGAAGAGAAGGAAACCCAACTTGAATATAGCTGAGTTTGCTACCTTCCTGTAATGGTTAGTTGGCACTTGACTTTACCACATACTTGGATAATCAAGTGCCTAGAACCAGTAGGCACATCAGAGGCTTTGTGCAAAGATCAATGGAAGAATGGAAGAGACACTTGCTGGTCGATAGTCTGGAAGAAGTTAACATCAAGAGAGGAATCTTTCAAGGAGACTTTAACTACTACTGTTTGTCATTGCATTGATTCCTCTGTCAACAATGCTGAACAAGTCATTGGTCACAAACTCAGCTCTTGAGTCTCATATTTAGGATTAAATTTGGTGTGAAACACTAAGAGAGAAAGGAGCCTACCTCCTATCATATATAGGACCAGGATTTTTATTCATCAAACATTTTCAAGGTGTTTACTCATTTTTTTGAATGAACAAGATAAATGGATCATTTTTCTCATGAGCCAACAAGATTATTTTACATTGGCATCCTTCAGTCTCAAAAGACTATGGTATCGTGCTCTGGAAAGAGGTCCTAACGCAGCATTTGGTGTGGCTAAAAAGTCCAATTCAGCAATGGCAATCCCTTCTGCACTGAGGGCAGATACATTCTGTCCCTGCCCAGCCCCCAGGTTTTGCTGGTTCCGGGATTGCCTCTTTGCCTCAGCCTTCTGAACAAGTATCTTTTTGAATTGGAGAAAGCCATGCTGCGTCTTTAGCCTCCAAGCTGAACGATCAGAGGTCAAGGTTTCCCAGCTGTTAATGTCCATTCCCAAGGCGTTTAGATCCCTCTTGCAGATATCCTTATATCACAGCTGTGTTCTCCCTTTCCCTGCACTAGTTCTCCATACAGGAGATCTTTTGGATTCCGACCATCAGCCATTCTCACGACATGCCCAAGCCAGTATAGATGTTGCTGTTTCAATAGTGTATACATGCTAGAGATTCCACTACATTCCAGTACTGCGCTATTTGGAACTTGGTCATACCAGGTGATGCCAAGAATATATCGGAAACAGCACATATGAAAGGTGTTCAACTTTCTCTCCTGCCATGCATAAAGGGTCCACAACTCACTGCAGTACAAGAGTGTGCTCAGGACACAGGCTCTATAGACCTGGATCTTTGTATGTTCCGTCAGCTTCTTATTAAGCCATACTCTCTTTGTAAGTCTGGAAAATGTGGGTTTACCAATGTGTTTAT